GAGGAGGTCAAGTTCTGATTTTGCCCTGGTCCGAAATCCGGCTCAATGCGGCCTGATCCCGCCTGATCCGGCTCAGTCCGGCCTGCTCCCGCTTCATCCAGCTCAATCCCGCTTACTCCGAGGCCCACTCCGGCGGGACGGCCCCCCAAGGGGGCTTGATCTTTTTTTTTCCTTCCGACGAAGACCTCCCAGTAGGAGGAGGAGGAGGAGGAGGAGGAGGAGGAGGAGGAGGAGGAGGAGGAGGAGGGAGAGGAGGAGGAGGAGGAGGGGGAGGAGGAGGAGGAGGAGGTTACCTCCCAAGCCAGGTGTCGAGCACGTCCACGGCGGTCACGCTCGGCATCGACGACATCGACGAGGGGAGCTGGGCCCGCAACAGCACGCCGGGCAGCGCGGGCTCCGGGCGGCAGCCGCGGATGGCTCCCGCGGCGCTGCACGAGGGCTTCGACGCGGCGGGTGTGCTGCCGTGGCCGGCCGGTCGCTTCGAGACGCTGGGGAAGATCGAGGACGCGAACCGCAACCAGGGCAGCGTGTGCCTCATGAGGGTTGTCGGTGAGGATGCTCTGGTGGCGGTGAAGCAGATGCCCAACGACTGGATCCGGGAGTCGCACCAGGCCTTCGAGGAGCGGAGAAGAACGACTGGACGAGCACATGCTTTCGGAGGTCCGCTCGGATTTCTGGGCTCTGCGCTGGGCCCCCTGGCGAGCTCCGAGCGCCAGGGGGGGGGGCTCAGCGCGGATCCAAGGTATCCGCGCGGATCATCGAACGTCGACGTTTATGTCCTCAGTACGTCTTCACAGGAGGTACACCCGCATGAGACAGAGCAACCGTGGAGCGACATCGGCTGCAACTGCTTTCTCAACAGCGTCAACTACCCTTACTGCATGCAGCTCATTGGCGTCTTCCGGGACCAGAAAACCACGAGCGTCGTCACGGAGTTCGCCAATGGAGGCGATCTCTTCAACTGGGCCTCCGAGCTGACAGAGCAGCCGGGCCTGGAGCGCGAAACCCGCGTCAAGCCCTTGGCCAAGCAGATCTTGCACAGCGTGCAGTGCCTCCATACCGAAGAGCAAAAACGATACAAAAGCATAAACTTTCGGATGTCCGCGCGGATTTCCCGGATCGGCGCTGGACCCCCATCCCTGGCGCGCGGAGCGCGCCAGGGGGCTCAAGCCCGATCCAAGAAATCCGCGCGGACTTCCGACACTTCATGTTCGTTTCCTTTTTGTTCATCGACCATAACCGGTCCATTGTCCATGGCGACCTCTCCATGGAGAACGTGCTGCTCAGCTCCCGCGAAGGCGTCGGCTCCCCACATGTCCGGCTCATCGACTTCGGGGCCGCGACCACCGAGCGATTCGCGGCCCAACGTGTCACGGGCAAGCCCAGCTACCAGGCGCCGGAGATGTTCGACGGCGAGCGCACCAGGCTGGGGCCGTCCACGATCCGATTCGCTGCGATTCGCTTCGCGGGCTGGGGCCGCGATTCCGATTCGATTCGATTCGGCTCGATTCGCCGGTATCGGCCGGGGCTTTCCGGAGCTGGGAGAGGCGACTCGATTTCGATTCGGTTCGCTGGCGACCCGATCCGTGGCCGACCCGATCCGATTTCGCGGCTCGATCCGGCGGAGACCTGCCAGGGACGGCTTCTTGTCCGACGCCTTCTCCGCGGGCGTGGTGCTGTATGCCATGTGCCTCATGGACTACCCGTGGCTCTCGACGTCGGGCGCCGACAAGTGCTTCGAGTTCGTGCAGGCGAAGGGCCTCGCCGCCTTCTTCCGGAAGCGCCGGCTGCCGAACGGCAAGCAGTCCGTGAGCGAGGTCGCGTCCCCCGAGCTGTGCGCTCTGCTGGCGGGCCTGCTCGAGGTCGACCCGTCCAAGCGCCTCACGCTCGGCGAGGACGTGTTCGGCTCCGGCCGGCGCTCCGTCTGGGACGAGCCCTGGCTGCAGTGAGAGAGGCCACGGCCTGCGGATCCAGGCCGTCCAGGCGCACGGCGCACGGTGGTGCTGCAGGCCGCGCTGCTGCGAAGGTGCGTATGTGTGTTTCGTCGTCCGTGTCTTGCGTGCGCAGTCGTACAGGCGCGGGCGAGCATGGACTGGCATACGTCGTACGTGCAAGTCTAGGTTTTTTGTTTTTCTGTTCCGTGCGCGGAGCCCTTGCTCTCGGACGCTCTTGCAGCCAGGCGCTGGGAACTGCAGAATTTAGCAGAGCTGGACACCAGTTCCTTCAGTGCTTCGTGCGGCGCAGAGCGATGCTCACTCGAGGTTGTCGAAACCAGAGCTCGAGAGAAGCAAAGCGAGTGTGTTAGTTTCTTTTCTAAACTCGTTTGAACGCCTCTTGGGAAGCCCACGTTCCTCCTTTCTTTTCAGCCGGAAGTTCGTTTGGAATGAATTGTCAAGGCGTTGCCAGTGACCAAATCGCGAGCTCCAAGCTTTTCCGCGTTCATCTTTGCTCCTAGCGCTGATCCAGGCCCATGTATCGTTGAGGATGGGGGCCGATGTCCAGTGTAGACGGAGGATGGTGTCCGCGATCCACGAGCGCCGCATCCACAGTTTTTCGTTTCAATCAGTGGGCCACTCCGACCGCTGCTGCTGTTGCGGAGTTTGAAAGCACCGCGTCGGAGCGCGGTGACAAAAAGGGGAGAGATGACCCCAACAGCGTAGAGTGCCGTTTTTAATACATGCTCCGCGTGCGGATCATGTATTAACAGTGCAGGGATTTAGTATTAACTATCCCAGTGCGACCCTACCTAGGAGTTGGAGCCCCTAGGAAAGCAGCATTCGTAGTAACAGTGACGCTAAACTAAAGCTAAGCTAAATCTAAGCTAAAACTAAGCTAAAGCGAAGCTAAAGCTAAGCTAAAGCTAAGCTAAAACTAAGCTAAAGCTAAGCTAAAGCTAAGCTAAAGCTAAGCTAAAACTAAGCTAAAGCTAAGCTAAAGCTAAGCTAACGCTAAGCTAAAGCTACATAACAACTAAGCTACAGCTAAGCTACATCTAAACTAAAGCTAAGCTGAAGCTAAGCTAGATCTAAGCTAAAGCTAAGCTACCGCTAAGCTAAAGCTAAGCTAAAGCTAAGCTAAAGCTAAGCTAAAGCTAAGCTGAAGCTACGGTAAGCTAAGCTAAAGCTAAGCTAAAGCTAAGGTAACGCTAAGCTAAACCTAAGCTGAAACTAAGCTAAATCTAAGCTAAAGCTAAGCTAAAGCTAAGCTAAAGCTAAGCTAAAGCTAAGCTAAAGCTAAGCTAAAGCTAATCTAAAGCTAAGTTAAAGCTAAGCTAAAGCTAAGCTAAAGCTAAGCTAACACTAAGCTAAAGCTAAAGCTAACGCTAAACTAAAGCTAATCTAAAGCTAAGCTAAAGCTAACGCTAAAGCTAAAGCTAAAGCTAAAGCTAAAGCTAAAGCTAAAGCTAACACTCCCAGGGGACTGGGGGAACCGCGGGGCGGATACTGGGGGAACCGCCTGGGGCGAGGAACACTGCCTGGCCCCTCTAAGCCCAGGGAGTAAGAACCCTCTGGGCAGAGCCTAGGTAGGGAAAACAGGGAAACCCAGCGATGAGTTCACGCACACATTTATTCATGAATGAATCACGTATTATAAATCTAAACATCCAATATTTTAAACAAATCCCATGGGTTAAAAACTGCCCTGTATCGTCCAAGGGGGGGCAACTTCGGCACCCCCGTGGCTCCCACGGCAGGCCGAGCCTGGCCCCTGCTGCGGCGGCCGCAGCGGGGGCGGACCGCTGCGAGGGGCGAGGGGGGAGCACTGCGCTTCTGTCGGGCCTGTCCCCCCACAGTGGGATTTTTCGACGAACAATAAAACATACCCCCAAAATACCCCAGAAAGGTCAAAACATAGTCAACAACTAATCCCCCGACTATTTTTGGATCATTGTTCTACTATGTTTGGGGTAGTTGTTCGACGCGTAGCCAAGTAATCGGCGATTCCCCAGAAAATATGGGAAACTATGGGAAGTGGGGGTCAAGACAAAATCCAGAAACTATGGGAACATATGGGGAATGTCTTTCTTTGTGTGTATTGATTTGTGTGTCCCAGGGCCCCTTCATACGCGTAGCCAGAGGCTCCGATCGACCACGTCTTCGACGAGTTTCCCTGGCGAACACGTGCAGTGCCTCCCCCCTGGGCTATCCGCACCCCCTGGGCGTCCAGGTGTGTGCCTTTGTTGCAGTGCGCGGCCCCAGAGGTCTGGACCCTTGCGCTGGGGGGATCGTGTTTCGCCCCATATCCATGTTTTATGGTGCTGGGGCCCGATAACGGGCCTCGGAGGCCGAAATCGCGGGAAAATGCCCGGATTGAAAAAATCATGGGACGACGCGGACGTGGAAGATTCGAAAATGATGTCCATGGGCTCCACCAGAGGCCCCCTATCAGGAACTTCACGCTAGAACGCAGCAGGCGATTCAGGGTGCTGGCAGTTCGCCATATTATTCGGCATTCGAGGCCGTTGCGTACTTACCGCCAATCCTTTCTATATCTGTCGGTCGCGGGGGGGATCATTATTTATTTGTTGCGGTTGGGTTTGGTGCTAAGGATACCGCTCCGCTAAACCCGCCCCCGCGAATCATGTACTTTCGTTTCGATGGTGACGATAACACAGTGGGGTTTCTTAACTGCTTCCCTTGTTTATGGTAAAACTTCTTCAGGGCTGAGCGGTGCGGTTCACGATCGTCGTACGACCCTGCCGTTGTGCTGCAGGCGCAGGTTGAAGCACATCGGCACTCCGTATCAATTTGTAAGACACTATACTGACCCATGGTAGGAATCGTTCTTTGAGTCCTTGCATGTTGAGTTCGCACACGCGTCTCCTAGTTGTGTAGTTTCCAAATCAATATCTGCCCGCAGGTGCCTGCAGCACCGTGAGGGCCGTGTCAGCTCTCTTTGCGAAGATGCTGTTCCCCCTGTCCCTTCGTCTGTGGCTGGTGATTCGGCACCATCGGTGACGCACATCCCCGCCATGCTGGAGACAACGCAGACACTATGACTCGCAGCCGGCTTCCTACCATAAATTGGTTGTTGCCCACAATGAGTCTATCAGGATTTTGCAGGGCATCGTGAACAAGAGTCGCCTGCCGGCTCCGCCTGAGGTGGCGGGACCGTCTCTGCGTTTTCGGTGGCATTTGGCAGCGCAGAGTCGGCACCAGGTCTCTTCTTCTTCTTCTTCTTCTTATTCTTCTTCGGTCATGGCCGACAATCGGGACGGCGGAACCCCTGTTTCTGCAAAACCTGACACTAATGCTCAGGTACTGGAGGTGGGCAAACGAGCTCGGGCTTGAATGGATGAGCAACTGCAGCAGCTTGCGCGCGACCTGAGAGAACTCCTCCTTGGCCTCATGAGCACAAATGCTAATGCACATATTCAGCAGGCGTTGCCGCACTTGCAGTGTCCTCCGCTTCAGCCGTGGTGGACGCGTGCCAACCAATTATGTGGACACGTGCCAATCCATTACGTCGAGTGTTGCTGAACGCGTGAGTGAGCTCGACCTTAAAGTCTCTGCATCTGAAACCGCTTTTGGTAGCCATCCGAGCCGGGCTGAGGAACGCATCGTATCTGGCGAGCGTCTGGCCGAGGAGCACCTCGCCCCCCGCACGAGGAACACGTCCCGTGGGCGCTCGCCTGACTCCTGCTGGCAGTGTGCGAACATCGAACCACGGTCCGCCCGCTCTCTCTTTGTCGTCTTCACCGGCTGCGAGGCCTTGCAACTCTGGGCAAGGATGCTATCGTGACGATTGTGTCCTGATTCGTGCTGAAGGCCGCATCTGTGACACAGACGGGGAGATGGAATGCCCCATGGCGGATTCCTCTCCCCAGCCCCCTGTGGATCCACCAGATCTCCAGGACCATCGACTACTCCAAGTTCGATGTCACCCCCACTTTGGTGCAAACCGACTTTATAGATCCGGGCTCCTGATCGCGTACTTTCACCTCGTCTTCTTCCTCTTCCTATGCATTGTCATCTGCTAAGCTCCCCAATCAGAGCTTGCCTCTGTAGGGGTCCTAGCGGATTCATATGGTTAGGTTAGCTGCGCCGCCGATTTCGGCGGCCCGCCCAGGTGCCCGGTTGCCCGAGTGCCAAGGTGCCCAGGTGCCTGGGTGCCCGGTAGCTCTATAGCCCTATAGCCCTATAGACTTCTAGCCCTACAGCCCTATACTCCTATAGCCCTATAGCGCAATAGCCCTGTAGCCCTATAGCACTATAGCCCAATGGCCATAGCCCTATAGCCTTGTAGTCTTATTGCCCTATGGCCCTATTGCCCTATAGCCCTATAGCCCTATAGTCCCATAGCCCTATAGCCCTATAACCCTATAGCCCTACAGCCCTCTAGCCCTGTAGCCCCATAGCCCCATACCCCAATAGCCCTATAGCCCTGTGTATAGCCCTTTAGCCCTATAGCCTCACAGCCTATAGCCCTATAGCCCTATAGCCCTACATCCTTATAGCCTCAGAGCTCTATAGCCCTATAACCCACTAGCCTCATAGCCCTAAAACTCTATATGCCTATAGCCCTATAGTCCTATGGATCTATAGCCTGTAGCCCTCTCGTCCTATAGTCCTAAAGCCCCATAGCCTTATAGCCCTAAAAAGATTATGACTGTTCCCTACCTAGGCTCTGCCTAGAAGGGCTCTTACTCTCTAGCTTAAAGGGGCCGGGCAGTGTAAAACGCCCCGGGCGGTTCCCCTAGGATCCGCCCCGCGGTTCCCCCAGTTGCGTCCCCTTAGCTTAGCGTTGCTTATCTCATCTTAGCTGAGCTTATTTCATCTTAGCTTAGCTTAGCTTGTTCTTACCTCAGGTTTGTCTTAGCTTAGCTTTTCTTCATCTTAGCTTCGCCGAGCTTTAGCATAGCAGAGCACAGCATAGCATAGCAGAGCGCAGCATAGCATAGCGCAGCACAGCATAACATAGCGTAGCCCAGCATAGCATAGCACAGCGC